AAGAAATGTTCACGTCTTGACACGTGTGTGCTTGTGCATATACCAACAGTCCTTGCTAAAAAGAACCTTTGACTTACGTTAGTTCCATTTTTAACCCCGCAAAATTATTTCTGAGATTCTAAACCCTTCAAATGAAAATTAATCAGCTGATTAAGAAATTGTTGATACCGGAGTCGATTTATACTAATACACTAAAACACAAAAGATGATCAATTAATACATAAGTGCATGTACTAAAGCATCGCAGGGAGCTTACGATCTCAATACATTATAGATCAAATTACTTACTGATTTACAGTGTTTCAATTTAAAACTATCCGAACGGGGTTTAAAGTGAAATTGGCGAAAGTTGAGGAGCTTTCCATTAAAACCCATACTTTTCTCACCAGTTATCGAATTCCATTTTTTTATATGGAAATGGAAATTTCCTGAGCAAAACCCCCTCAAACGAGACGCCGCCATTTTAATCGACTCCGGTCAATCTTATCATGGGCTCAATTTCACCGTCGCGAGCACCCGAATCAATGTAATTCTTCAAATCTCCCCATCTCCGTCGTGTGCTTTGGTTTCTGGATAAAAGGCGACTCTTTTATCACTGAGTTTCTCCCACACTTGCAAAAAAAGCTCTCACCTTTTGATTCCTGTTTGGTTCTGATGTACCTGAAAGAAGGATGCTCGTTGCTATTGAAAGTTCAAAAACCCATTATTCCCTTTGTCCTAAACACAAATCTCAATGGGAATGTTCTCCTGAAAGCTCCAAATCTTGCTACGGAGATCAAAGAATCAGATGTGGTAAAGAGGCTGAGACGAGAGTCATGTGTCCCTTTAGCTTTGCATTTCTTCAAATCCATTGCCAATTCAAATGTGTTCAAGCACACGCCTTTAACATTCGAGGTGATGATTAGAAAGCTTGCAATGGATGGTCAGATTGATAGTGTTCAGTATCTTTTGCAGCAAATGAAACTCCAAGGGTTTAACTGTTCTGAAGATTTGTTTGTTAGTGTTATTAGTGTATACAGGCAATTGGGTTTGGCTGAACGAGCTGTGGAAATGTTTTATAGGATTAAGGAATTCGGGTGTGATCCTTCGGTTAAGATATACAATCATGTTTTGGATACACTGCTCGGCGAGAATAGGATTCAGATGATTTATACGGTTTATAGAGGTATGAAGAGAGATGGGTTTGAGTCAAATGTATATACATATAATGTACTTCTTAAGGCGTTGTGTAAGAACAATAAGGTAGATGGTGCTCAGAAGCTGCTGGTGGAGATGTCGAATAAAGGTTGTTCTCCTGATGCTGTGAGCTACACCACAGTGATCTCATCGATGTGTGAGCTCGGTATGGTGAAGGAAGGTAGGGAACTCGCGGAAAGGTTTGAACCTGTTGCGAGCGTTTATAACGCTTTAATTAGTGGGTTATGCAAAGACCATGATTACAAAGGTGCATTTGATCTGATGAGAGAAATGGTGGAGAAGGGTGTATCTCCTAATGTTATCTCATACTCAACACTTATCAATGCGCTTTGCAATTATGGAAAAATCGAGGTCTCTTTCTCGCTTTTGGGGCAGATGTTGAAACGAGGGTCTCATCCAAATATCCATACATTGAGTTCTCTGGTGAAAGGTTTTTTTGTAACAGGTACGACCGTAGATGCTCTAGACTTGTGGAACCGGATGATCAGAGGATTTGGGTTACAACCGAACGTCATAGCGTTTAATACTTTGGTACAAGGATTTTGTTCCCATGGGAATATGGAAAAGGCTCTGGCTGTCCTTTCACACATGGAAGAAAACGGATGTTCTCCAAACATCAGAACCTATGGCTCTCTTATCAATGGCTTTGCCAAAAGCGGTAGCCTTGACGGCGCAGCTGATATATGGAATAAGATGCTAACTGATGGATGCTCTCCAAATGTTGTGGTGTATACAAGCATGGTGCAGGCTCTTTGTAGGCACTCCAAGTTTAAAGAAGCTGAATCTCTTATAGAGATTATGTCCAAAGAAAACTGTGCTCCTTCTGTGCCAACGTTTAATGCATTTATCAAAGGTTCATGTGATGCAGGGAGGCTTGACTGGGCAGAGAAAGTGTTCAGACAAATGGAGGAGCAATACAAGTGTCCTCCCAACATTGTGACATACAACGAGCTACTTGATGGGCTCTCAAAGACAAACCGAATAGAAGAAGCTTATGGTCTCACCCGAGAAATCTCCATGAGAGGTGTGGAGTGGAGCTCATCGACGTACAACACACTTTTACATGGATCATGCAATGCAGGTCTCCCAGGGATAGCTCTGCAGCTAGCGGGGAAAATGGTGGTCGATGGTAAATCACCAGATGATATAACGAGGAATATGATAATATTAGCATATTGTAAACAAGGGAAAGCCGAGAGGGCTGTCCAGATGTTGGATCAAGTTTCATGTGGAGGAAGTAAGTGGCGGCCTGATGTAATCTCATACACAAACGTGATTTGGGGTCTGTGCAGCTCTAATTGTAGGGAAGATGCAGTGATTCTTCTCGAGAGGATGATAAGGGAAGGGATTGTCCCAAGTATTGCTACATGGAATGTATTGGGTCGCTCTTTTATTCTCGATGACACCTGACCCCATGCTAGGTGTACCAATTTGTTGGGAACCCATTTGCTTCTATGTATGAATAGAAGCAATTTTACCCGTGGGTGTATGAAAATGTTGTGATCACATAAAGGATTGGCTTGTGGGTCTTCATTGGACCCTTCAAGAACTCAAAGAAAATATGTCAATCCGTCCAAGAAAATCAGACGGTCAGATGGTTCTGGCATCTGACAACTACATTGGCGAGAGATGGCTAAGCAAATATGATGAGACAGAATATGATTATTTGGTCAGCATTCATTTATTCTAAAATTCTCTTTTTTGGTTACAGATAAGCCATAAGTTGATTATAGATATTCCCTTCTTTTTTCCCAACATTCTCATGGTGTTAGGCTAGACTCGTAGAATCTTTTCAACAAGAATCTGGAGATATGTCCGGTCCGACAAGGAGCTGCTTGAAAGAGGAGATTGAGGAGATATCTTTGGTTTCTGTGGCCAAGGTTTGAGTTCATGTTTGTTTTTGTATGATATAGTTCAACGGATGAATAAGTTCTGATATTGAAATCCTTGATGAAATTTACAATTAAGTGGTTCTAGTTTGAGCTTTAGATCTTATGTAAAAGCTTAATCACTTATATATTATCTAATAAAGTGCCTTGAGAGAAAATTACTCGATTCTTATAATACTTGGATGATTTTCTGTTGTCAAACTTTAATTTGAAGATATATGCTGTTGATTTCATTGGCAGGTTCCATTTTGTTTTCCTATTCCAATAAACCACTTTTTCAATTAACTGCATAGTCTGATATCGCAACTAGTAAAAAAGTGAGACAAGTATTAGAGGCCAAAAAGAGAACAAATAACATCAAAACACTTGCTTATGTACTTAAAATTAGATATCGAACAAGCAATCTCTAGTTCTATCTCAGTCCTCTATGATAGAACTGAATAACATTTACCTATATCTCTGGTGAAGAAATTTTTGGAAAGCAGGAGAACAAATGAATCAATCGCAACCTCAAGAGACTACGGGGAAAACTATCACCTTGATAATCTTGGACTCCCTAAGAATGGCGCTATAGCAAAGGAGGGACTTGCTTTTGAATCTATTGTCGTCTGTTAATCCTTCTTTGTGCTTTAGTGTATGGTGATAAATCGATCCCTAGATAAGCAGTGTCTTAGCCAGCTGGTGTAATGCAAAGCTGACCATATCCTGGACTGTGCTCCAATGGGTACATGGTCGTGCTTCTCACAAATTTTTGATGGTCCCTCACAGGTTTTCTGAGGTGTGAGACCACCGGAGGCTTGTTTTTGTTTCTCTTCTTTACTATCGAGCATGAAGCTAATGGGTCTGTAGATCCTGCTCCAACTCTCCTGCACGTTGAATGGGTTATATCGGAGAAAATGATAAGTTTTTGCAAAGAAAAAAAATATGAAATTATTCTTATTGATTACCTTAAGAGCTTCTCGGCTGCAATTCTGGCAGATCTCATTGTATTGCGGTTTGGCACCCATTTCACGACTCGGTTTGGATCAGCTCTCATGGGAGAGTGTATTTTAATGAGCTA